GCATCTCCTGGAAGGTTTCCACCTGGGTTCTGAGGTGGTGCTTCGGAGTTTCCCAGGCCTCTGGCTATTTGGTTTTCATGAGCCCGGGGTCCGGCGGCCCTTAGACGACTACCGGAGGATTGGGAAGGTCGAGGCCTGGGATCTCTAAGATTTTCACTGTCCCCGACTCCTTCTGGGATATCTTGGCAGTCACCGGGGTTATGGTTTCCAGCCACGACAACTTCTAGCGATCTCGGGGCATCTTCCAGAGGCGGCATCGAGTTTCTTCCATCCAAGCACTCAACGACAGTCATCAGTCCCCGCACCAGGTCGGTCATAGTAGTGAGCTGGGCCTGCATCTGCACAGGGTCCGGTCGCGGCATGTCTGGGGGTGGGACTCCATTCCTAACTGGAGGTGGGTCTTCTTCCATCCCGTCGTTCGCCGGGTGTGTGGCAGTTTCTTCCATCTGGATGCCTTGGTTGATGGCCTCAATTCTTTTTCTTGGAGGCATGTTAACAAACGTATGAACCGGAGATTCTGGATTCGTCCCCAGTGGAGTCGCCAATTGTTGACGGCTAAATTTCGTCAGCAGAAATACCCCGGGTTACCCACTGGTATCCCGTTGGGTTACCGGCTGGAAATTAACTGTATATTTAAAATCAAACTGTGAAGTGTTTGTTGTATTTTTGGAAGCATGAGTGTAACGCTTGAATGAGAGGACACACGAAATTTATAGTGTTTCACTCTGTTAATGAAGAGCTACATCTACTTGTGTATTGTATTTCTCTTTAGACTTTTACAATTTACATGCAGGTATATTCTTTCTGATTCAATACTCAAGAAGTCCATGCCCCTTCGTGTATGGGGCTTTGCCCTTTTTATAGCTCAAGCTTCATTCGGGGGTGGTTCTCCTTTGTAGGTAGAAGTACTCGAGTAGCCTATCTTTCTAGGCCTAGACCGTAGCCCACTAATCACCTTTTGAACTGTTCACTCAGCCAATTGGTCTTCCATTACGGCTCTGAGGATTCCTGTAATCCTTCACTGCCCACTGTAGGGCGGCCTAGGGGATTGCAATGAATGCCTGTACTACAGACGTCTTCCATCCCTAGACGCAACTTGTGATGTTAGGCTCCTTTCTGAAGAGTATTCCCCTCGTCATCTGCGATGCGTAGACCTCATGTCCTTCTTGGCAGTCGATCCTTTCCAGGAATTCTTGTTGCCATAAGATCGACGGCACGACTGGTCGACGGTATGCCGGGTCGATGCCCTAAGTCAGGCCTTTCTTTGCAGCGTAGAGGGGAAGCGAGCTTCAAGCGTCGAGAGTTGTCGCCTTTTTGAGAGAAAAAATAAGGTCACATGTCACGCTATCGCCGTTCCACATGTCACCCATATTTTCCTACACAACAATCCGCAAAGCCTAAAATTAATCAACTAAATAATTAAAAAAAATAACAACACTAACCGGTAATTGTCAAAAAGAAAAACTGAAAAATTGAAGGAACTAATCCTCAAATGCGGCATTTTTCTTTTGAAATTTTAATGGGTATGAGCTAAAATGACAAAGCAGTGACAAATAAACTTAAAAGACTCAGAGGTGATTTGGGGTCCTTCATCGGCTGGTTTTGATTTTAACTTTAAATTCTCCCCAAATTCTTTTTAAAGCACTTTTTTACATTTTTACTAAACGTAAAAAACAATTTTGGCTGAATAGACAATTGATTTTAGGCTCCCAAAATCCCTACCAAATGCACCCTATGTTTCTCTCAGCAAAATCAATTCTCAAACAAACTCACCAAAATCAATTCTCAGTCCCAATTACGTTTTTCTCAGCAAGATCAATTGTCAAACAATCTACAAACTCAGATTATAAAAAACTCACACACTCATTTGGTCAGCGACCTTCACTTTTTCAACATTATGCTTCTAGAGCTTGTCAAAACAGTGGGCGAACACCTCATGCAAAACAAATTGTGAAGATTAGCTCTAGTTGAAGAATTGGTTGAGGCAGTTAGAATTCAGTTTTGCCGTGTTGGTTTCAAGACTGCAGCTTGTTACTAAGGAGGCTCATGGATTGATGACGTGTCTAATATCCATTGGTTTGAATGTTGTATATATATAGACTTGGTTAATTGTTGAAAAGTCAATATATTGAGAGAATAGAAAAGTTACGCCAGAGAGAGAAGAAAAAGGCCGAGAAAGGTTTTCTGTGTAACTGAGAACCTGTGTTTGGTTCCTCAAAAAATCTTATACTTGTGAGCTGAGAGATTTTATTATTGTGATCTCTGAGGGTGTAACTATTCTGAATAGTGGATTTGCTAGGGTAGAAGCCCTGACTTGGATTAGGATTGTTTAAATCTGAACCAAGTATAATTGCATGTGTTCTTTTGTTTACTGTTTTTATGTTCTTGGTTTCGTTTGAGTTTAAGATTTGTCTTTGATTTCCTCACAAATTGGTATCAGAGCCCAAATCTGAGATCAAGATTCTGGGCGGAGATTGAAGAAGAGGAGATTTCCTAACCAAGATCGAGTTCTTTTCAACCAGTCAATCGGAGAACTTCCTGGCCAGAAGATTTCTTCGACAATGTCTACTTCAAAGTACGAGATCGAGAAGTTCGATGGAAAGAATGACTTCAGTCTCTGGAGGGAAAAGATGATTGCTCATCTCGGCAATCTTGGACTCGACGAAGCGCTTAAAGGAGAATCGAAGATTCCATATTCAGTCCAGAACAAGGCAGAAATCCTGAAAAAAGGTAAGAAATACTATTGTTCTAAGTCTCAGTGATCAAATCTTGAGAAAAGTTGTTAAAGAAAAATCTGCTTGTGAGATATGGTCAAAATTAGAACAATTATATATGACTAAAGCTTTGCCAAACAGAATTTATCTGAAACAGAGGTTTTATGGTTTTAAGATGGATGAGAGCAAGACTATTGATGAAAACATAGATGAGTTCACGAAACTATTGTCTGATTTAGAAAATATTGAGGTAACAATTGATGAAGAAGATCAGGCTATATTCTGCTTAACTCCTTACCTAGGCAATATGAGCAGCTTAGGGATACCTTAAAGTATGGTAGAGACACTTTGTCTTTAGAGGAAGTCATGGGTGCTGCCTATTCTAAAGAATTGGATTTGAGGGCAAGTGGAAAACAAGCAAGATACAATGCTGAAGGCTTAAATGTAAGGGGCAGACCAACCGAAAGAAATGAGAATTCCAACAAGAGTAAGAATCACTCCAGGTCTAAGTCGAAATCCAGAAGAACCTGTTGGTTTTGTAAAAAGGAGGGACACCTCAGAAGAAACTGTCCACAAAGAAAGAATGAAAATAACAAGAATGACACCACTAACACCCAAGAGGCTGCCAATGTCTCCGAGGGTCTTGAAAATGCAGAGGTTCTCACCATTTCTTATGATGACCCAAAGGAAGAGCGGATCAGGACTCTGGATGTACATTCCACATGTCACCAAGAAAAGATTGGTTCTTTGATATGAAAGAATCAATTGTTGGGAAAGTTTTTATGGGAAACAATATGTCCTGCACTGTCTATGGTATTGGGTCCATAAGATTGAAGATGTGGGATGGAACTGAAAAAGTACTTCAAGAAGTGAGATATATTCCCAATTTAAAAAGGAATTTGATCTCACTTAGCAGCCTTGATCAAAAGGGGTACTGTTACAAGGCTAAGGATGGAGTCTTAAAGGTGATCAAAGGAGCCCTGCTGGTCATGAAAGGTGTGTTGAAACAGGGTCTATACATACTGCAAGGTTCAACCATTTCAGGAGAAGTTGATGCTGTGACAAGTTCTAAGAAGGATGAGACTGAATTGGGGCATAAACGCCTAGGCCACATGAGCATCAAAGGGCTACAAGAACTAGGAAAGCAAGGCCTATTGGATGCCAAACAAATCAGTGATCTAAATTTCTATGAAACATGTGTTCTTGGAAAATCTCAAAGGCTAAGGTTTGTTTCTGCCACACACAAAACTAAAGGAACACTTGACTACATACACTCAGATTTGTGGGGCTTTTCAAAGGTACCATTCTCCTTATCCAAATCTCAATACTTCATTACTTTCATAGATGATTACTCTAGGAAAGTGTGGATTTATTTCCTTAAGACTAAGGATGAGGCTTTTAAGAGGTTTGTTGAATGGAAAACACTAATTGAAAATCAAACCGGTAAAAGAATTAAGAGATTGGGGACTGATAATGGCTTAGAGTTTTGTAGTAATGAATTTAACACTGATTGTAGTAAGGAAGAAATTTCTAGACATCATACATGCACTGACACCCCACAACAAAATGGGGTGGCTGAGCGCATGAATAAAACCATAATAAACAAAGTAAGGTGCATGTTAGATGAGTCAGGGTTGCCTAAGAAATTCTGGGCAGAAGCCGCTGCTACTGCTTGTCATTTAATCAATAGATCCCCATCTACAACCATTGATTTTAAAGTCCCAGAGGAGAAATGGTCTAATGCTAAGCCTAGTTACCAACATCTTAGAGTTTTTGGGTGTCTAGCTTAGTACACATTAATCAGGAAAAGTTAAATCCTAGAGCTAGAAAAGGAGTTTTTCTAGGCTATCCTAATGGGGTTAAAGGTTATAAGATATGGCTTCTAGAAGAAAGGAAGTGTGTCATAAGTAGAGATGTAATTTTCAATGAAAACATGTTTAATAAAATTGACCCCAAATTGCAAGAAACAGCTAGCTCTAAACATGCTGAGCAGAATTCTGAGATGCAGGTGGAGCTACCAATAGAAACAGAAATTTCTGGAGAACATGAAAATTTCTTCCAAGATCAAGGTGGAGCTATTCTGAATGCATCACAAGCTGAGTAATATGAACAACAAACTGAGGGACAAAGGAGCCAGTTGACAGAGAACTTGGAGCAATCAAAAGAAGGTTTCAGAAATGAAGAAAATCAGGAAGAGAGTCTAGCCGATTATGTACTGACAAGGGATAGAACAAGGAGACAAATCAGACCGCCTTCCAGATTTGTAAATGCTGATCTTATTGCCTTCACACTTAATGTGGCAGATCAGTTAGAGCTAGATGAGCCTGCCACTTACATGGAAGCAATCAGAAGCAAGGACTGGCCAAAGTGGAAGAAAGCTATAGAGGATGAATTGCAATCTTTAATCAAAAATCATACTTGGGTCTTGATTGATAAACCAAAGGGACATAAGGTAATTGGCTGGAAATGGGTGTTCAAGAGAAAACCAGGAATTCCCGGAGTAGAAGATGCTAGATTCAAAGCTCGTTTGGTTGCAAAAGGCTATTCTCAGATGGAGGGGATTGACTATCATGAAGTGTTTTCTCCAGTAGTCAAGCATACTTCAATCAGGATAATTTTGGCGATTACAGCAATAGAAGACCTTGAGTTGGAACAACTTGATGTCAAGACTGCCTTTCTCCATGGCAATCTTGAAGAAAGAATACTCATGAGTCAACCAAAGGGTTTTGTGAAAGAAGAAGATGCTGGAAAAGTTTGTCTTCTAAAGAGATCCCTTTATGGTTTAAAACAATCTCCTAGACAATGGTATAGGAGATTTAATGAGTTCATGGTAAGTTAAGGATTTATAAGGTCTAAATTTGACAGTTGTGTGTATTTTGCTAAGCTGGGAGAACATGTCTACATTTATCTTCTGATTTTTATGTAGATGACATGCTAATAGCATGTAAGAAGAAATTAGAAATTCAGAAGCTAAAAGATTTGTTGAGTTCTAAGTTTGAAATGAAGGATCTAGGTCCTGCCAAACGGATTTTGGGCATGAAGATTATGAGAGACAGGGTCAAGGGCATTCTGACATTGTCTTAAGAAGGTTACTTGAAGAAAGTTATCAATGTCTTTGGTATGCAACAATCTAAGGTAGTCAATACTCCTATAGGTGCTCACTTCAAGCTAACATCTGTGAAGGATCAAGATTCAAAGATGGAGGCTGCTTACATGAAGTTAGTTCCTTATTCAAATGTTGTTGGAAGTATTATGTATGCAATGGTATGAACCAGGCCTGATATTGCATATGGAGTAGGGCTGATCAGCAGGTACATGAGCAGACCAGGAAGATCACATTGGCAAGCAGTAAAATGGCTGCTCAGATATAAGAAAGGATCCTTAAAGCTCAAGCTGACTTATACTAGATCATTGCAAGGAAACTTTCAAGTTGCTGGCTATTGTGACTCGCTTTCTAGATATGTTTTTACAGTTGGGGGAAATGTGGTGAGCTGGAAGTCATCCTTGCAGCATGCGGTAGCTTTGTCAACAACTGAAGCTGAGTACATTTCTCTAACTGAAGCTGTGAAATAAGATTTGTGGCTTAAGGGACTAGTCAGTGAATTAGTAGTTCAACAAAGTTTCGTGAATGTGTATTGTGATTCACAAAGTGCAATCCATCTAACCAAAAATGCTATGTTTCATGAGAGAACGAAACATATTGATATTACATTGCACTTTGTAAGAGACATAGTTGCTAGATAGTTGGTAAATGTTGAAAAGATAGCAACTGAAGTAAATCCTGCTGATTTGTTCACCAAGGTGATTCCTGTAGGCAAGTTCAAGGAGGCATTGAACTTACTCAGAATTCTGGAATGATGATTCGTCGGTGAAATAGGGTATCCTAGTCAGATCCACTATGATATTCAACCTAGATCCAAGGTGGAGAATTGTGAAGATTGGCTCTAGTTGAAGAATTGGTTGAGGCAGTTAGAATTCAGTTTTGCCGTGTTGGTTTCAAGACTGCAGCTTGTTACTAAGGAGGCTCAGGGATTGATGACGTGTCTAATACCCATTGGTTTGAATGTTGTATATATATCGACTTGGTTAATAGTTGAAAAGTCAATATATTGAGAGAATAGAAAAGTTACGCCAGAGAGAGAAGAAAAAGGCTGAGAAAGGTTTTTTGTGTAATTGAGAACCTGTGTTTGGTTCCTGAGAAAATTTTATACTTGTGAGCTGAGAGATTTTCTTGTTGTGATCTCTGAGGGTGTAACTATTCTGAATAATTGTATGTGTTCTTTTGTTTACTGTTTTTCTGTTCTTGGTTTCGTTTAAGATTTGTCTCTGATTTCCTCACACAAATGAAACCAAATATATATATATATATATATATATTATTGACAGATATATATATGTATAGTTTTTTTATAATGACGTGTATATATATATATATAGGTTAGAATTAACAAGAAAACACACAAATTAGTTACCATTAAGTTCTTTTTACATACCATCTTTTATTTCTTGAAAAGTGAATTAAGAGACATCGTTCTCTGCCTCGATATTATCACGATCGAAACATTCATTATCCTATACGAAAGTAAATAAATAAAGAAACAAATGAAGATATCTATGTGGAGAATCCTACAACTTCTTCAATGTAGTTTCTCTCCTCCAATAGTTAGAGAGCTCTTCCTTTTCATAAAACAATGAAGAAGACGAAATGAAGGGCCCTTAAAATCTAAAATGGAATTGGGAAAGACAACTTTTCTTTCCCGCTTTTATATTGGGGTTAAGTTCGTATTTAACTAATACAAGGAAAGATATTAATTTTTTAAGTATGCAGCAATTTGACAATTCCGTAATAAAGATATAACCTAATATCTTGTTTTATTCTGACTAATTAAGATGCAAAAAGTAAGAACACGTGTTTTGTACAAAAAGAGAGAGTGTGCCCTTCAAAAAAATAAAATAAAAGGAGCTGCAAATACATTCAAAGAAAAATCGTTTTATCCGGAGTTATTACAGCGAAGTAATGTTATTTAAAAAAATATATTTGTCAAAAATCTCAACAAAAAAAAATTATTGTAATTACTATCAGTTACATTTTAAATTCTAACAATTATGATGACGTCATTATTGTGGTAATATATTGACTTGTAATTTATTATAACAGAAGCTGACTCACAAATTCTAGTGGACGTTTGGTTCATGAATTCAGAATTATTATTGATTTACGTGTGTTTTTTGTTAGAGAAAATACTATAATAAACTACGAACCATAATTCAAATCATGGTACAAATACACCAATTAAATACACACTAAGTCTAAGATTGCCTTGATTGTAGATCAAATCGAACAATTGTAAAGTACGCCTCTTCCTATTTAGAGTAGGGGTTGAGATGAGAAATGGCTTGATGAACCGTTTTCGTTAGTCATGCATGGACTCCATTCACTTGCTTATTGTAGAGGCTTTTAAGTTATTTATATTATAGTGGGGTAGAAACACGAAAGAGTTCTGAATATTGATAACTCACCAGCACGATCCTAATTTAAGAAAAAAGACTCAATTTTATTTATTTTTTTTCTTTTACAATTTTTTTTTTTTTTTTTTTACCAAAATATACGAAGAGATATCATGATAAAAGCCTTGATAGACAAACTAATTAGGTAGCATAAAGACAAAAACCGCAGGAAGGTCTTGCCATGCCCATGTGAATCAAACACTCATGACGTACGACTAACAAGTTTTTTTATTAATTAAGCTAGCTGGGACCATCTGAAAAATCTTGAAAAATATTCCTATCTTTAACTGTATTCACCATAAAATAAGGGTTATAATCAGTACTATTAAAATTAAAAATTTAGAAACCAATTGTCCGGTGCTAATTATAATAAATAAATAAAAATACACGGTGCTCATAATTCAAGTGAAGGACCACATTACTAATACCCAAAAAATAAAAATAAAAAAATAAAAAAAAGGTTTAATGTTAATCGATATGATACGTACGTACCCGGATTATTCCTCTCGTGCACCAGATTAATATTGTTTTTGGTTTGTCTACGTACTACATGTGCGTATATTACAGCGAAAAACATGTGTTACTTAGTCAATTTTAGTTTTAAAACAATGGATTATTATCACACATGTCTCCTGACTTTTAGAGTCATTCTCAATTTACTTCTTAAATGTTATAAACTCTTACTTTACCTCTTGAACTTTGATCATTGTTTCCACTTAATATTCTGTTGCAATTTCTGTTAAAAATATATAGAAGAAAAAGAGAATAATACAATCACGTGGTCTTTCTGTTTAGAGTTCTGTTAAAAAGAAATAAATAAAAATCTTATGGTCACACTTAATCTCTTTTTTCTGTATTTTAACAGAAATTACAACAAAAGATGTCAAGTGATAACAATTCAAAATTCAAAAAGTAAAATTAAAATTTTTAAAGTGTAAAAGATAAACTAGAAATGACCCCAAAATTCACGAGACACCAAAGCCAATAATCCTAAAACAATCATACTCGACATTTTGTTCATTCAAGAAACGTATTCAAATTACCATTTTTCTGATCTAGATCGCTTTGGTATTATTGTATATTCTCTGTAGGTATATTACAAACAGCGACGTATTACCAAAACCAATCATAACTCTTACTTTTGCGTAGATTAATTTTTGAATTTTTGGATATTAATATACATCAATAATTATAAAATATATATGTAAAATACTTGGAAATTATTATAAAATATACGTCAGTCATTATGAATTTTTGGAAATTTTGTATTTGTTAAAAAATAAAAAGAATTGGGCACATGTGATCTAGTGGCATTTTTTTTTAAGTCTAATATATGTATAAGTTAACCTATAAACACTAGATAACAATAAATTTTATGTTCTTCTTTGGCCACGAGCGAGAAGAAGGATAAGATCAAGAGGAGATCACCAACCTCTCTTTTTTTTTTTTCTTTTTTTTTTTGAAAAAAATTTTTAAAACAAAAACTAATTAAATAAGTTGGTTGGTGAGCTTAGAGAGGGCTCTCTAAGAAGTGCTAGGGAGGCATCACTCAATATTGTTACTATTAAAGTTGAGAGCATTGTTCAATATAGTATTTGCAGGGGAAAAATAATATATATTTGATTGTAAAATCGAAGTATTCGTTTCCATGTGTTTTTTTTTTTCCTTTTTTTTTTCTTTTCATTTCTATTTAATATTATCATGTCAAGTCAAAATGTCTTGTTAATTAAAATATTTTACTTATGGTTCCCGTGCATGCGTAAGATGACACACAAATCAAGCTAATTGGATTTGTATTGAATCGTGTCATAAAAATTAAATTCAAATAACTGAGTTTTGATTGATTTTATATATATGGTATATAATATGTACTAAAAACTCACCACGTGAATCATGATTCTATAATTAATATTTTAGGGTTCTGTTTGATCATGATTAATACTTTAAATAAGCCATAATTTTCCGTCTCTCACATGAATTATTGGAGTTGATCTGTCAATAATAGTACCTTTAGGCATATATATATATATATATATATATATATACACACACACACACACACACACTACCATTTGCGACCACATTTTTTCGACGACATTTGTCGTCATAAATAATACAATATTTGTGACAACATGTCGTCGCAATTAATCCCTGTTAAATAAAATAATCATGTCGTCGCTAATAATTTTGGAGCGCAACTTTCAATTGCGCGGATTTTTGCCGTCAAGGTAATCCATTTTTTGCGACAAAAAATCGTCGCAAATAATAAGATATTTGCAACAACAAATGTCATCACAAATAGTTCAGATTATTTGCGAAGATATTTTTCTCTTTGTCGTCGCAAATAATTCACCAAAAACTAAACGCAGGAAAAATGATTATTTGCAACGACTAAAAAATTATTTACGACGACATATGTCATCGCAAATAATTGCCAACTATAACGTATTTGCGACGACATTATTTAATATATCATATCTTCTTCCTCTTCATTTTCCCCTGACGCTTTCTCTCTCTCTCTCTCTGCCTCTTCTTCCCCTCGCCGCTGCCGCTGCCGCCCGTCGCTGCCGCCCCTCTTCTCTCTCTCTCTCTCTCTCTTCCCTTCTTTCTCTCTCTCTCTTCCCTTCTCTCTTCTTCCCCTCTCCGGCCACCGCCGCCCCGTCCCCGCCACTCCTCTCTCCTCTTCTCTCTCTCTTCCCTTCTCTCCCTCTCTTCCCTTCTCTCTCTCTCTTCCCTTGCTCGCCGCCGCCGCCGGCCGGATTCCACCGCCGCCCCACTGAATCGCCCGTCGCCACCTTACCGTTCAACGTTTACCGGTATATTTTACACACTCCGGTAACTTTTTTATTATTTTTATGTGTTTTGTTGAGTTGTTTGTAAAGTGTTTGTAAAAATATCTAAATGAAGTTTCTAAACATTTACTATGAGGTTGTGTAAATGTTAGTTTATGACGTTAATTTAGAATTATTTTTGAACTAGTGGTTAATTTATTAATTTAGATTATTTGTTAACATAATTAGATTTAACGCCGAGGAATGAAATTTTTTTGTGCATTTAAATATGTTACTCTAGATGTTAATAAAATGTTAATTTCGGTGTTTGAAAATTATGTTCGATGTTTCAATTTGATGTAGGCGTTTGATTTTTCACCTTCGTCACTGTTTGCCCGGTTCCTCCAACGTAATCCTGTTATTTTCAGCCTCCGTTTAGTGGGTTTGAACTTTGTAAGTTTTTTTTATATTTATTGTACTTTTAGTTTAAAATTGTTGTAGTTTTTGGTTGTATGAATTCAGGATTATGATTTTCATATTTAAACTATGATTTTCTTATATTGTTGAAATTTAGTATATGTTTGTGATTCTTGTTCTGGGTGGCACATCTTGCAGCTATGGTGTGCTGAAATCTTTTAAAGTTGTTTTTCTGCAGGTTTAGATTTTTGGATCATAAGGAAAATAAGCCGTTATGTTGCCGAAATTTAGTTAGAAAACGAGAACTATAATAAGTTCATTAACAAACTTTAATGAATAAAATTTAATTGTGTTAATAAAGAGTAAAATTAAAATTAATTAAACACATTAATAAATTGTTATGTCTGTTGTTGTGTATAGTTGAAATGCTGATTGACAAAAGTTAGATTTATTTGAGGAGCCGATTGTCGGATCAATATTAGAATGGGTTATCCGTTTTTATTGAGGTCACCAAAAATTATGAAACTTCAAGTGGCCATATCAGCTGTCCTTGTGTAAAATGTAAAAACCATGAAATGCATCTAGTAGAAACTGTGAGAGTGCATATACATCGATTTGGTTTTGATCCATTGTATAGTACATGGATTCACCATGGTGAAGTAGAAGCGGTTTCAGGTGTTGACCCAATAGTTAATCAACCAGTAGACGAGATGTTTGCAGTCTTACAAGACGCTGCTGGGATTAATGATGACCATGAAATGTTGATGAGGCGGGAGGTACTTGGAAGACGCTTGGTAAATATGGTTTATAGTTTGATAGTGCAGTTGGTATTCATACCAGGGACATAGGAGTAGGTTCGACGCTCTCCCAAAAGCATTACTCCGGGGCTTCTTCTTCATCTGCTGCTTCATACTCAGACGCAACATCATCAGCTCAACCTGACCCACGTATGAGTCGTTATTTAGAGAAATCATACCGACAACAAGTTAAGATTTATGAGAATCAGGTGAAGGTGTTAGAGTTGATGGCTAAATTGCAGCCCAACATCCAATTACCTACGATTGATCGTCCAGAACCAGTTGACCTGGATGATCCTCTGCCTCCTTCAGATGATGACAGTCCTGATGATGATTCAGATGTTGGCGATGCTGTAAACTTAGACGATTAGTTCCGTTATATGTACTTTTTTTATTTTTCACTTTATTTAGACTTTTATATTTTTTTGAACATTATATATGCACTTCATGTAGTATTCATTATTTTTTATAAATTTATTTAGATTTACTATTTTTAATATTAATTTATATTTCACTTTTAATGTATCTTAATAAATTTTATTCAGTATGTAACATAATAATGTTTAATTAAAAATATTAAAAATTAATTAATTGCTATTTTTTAAAAATTATAAAAAAAATTTAATTTCAGTTTTTTGTGACAACTTTTTTAGACTTATTGTCGCAAAAAAATAAGATTATTTGCGACGACAATTTGAAATATCGTTGCAAAAAATGGATCATATCACGAGAAATTTGTAACAACGTATTAGCGACGATTGTCGTCGCAAATACATTTACGACGACACTATGTCGTCGCAAAAAATCTTTTTGCGACGATAAATTTTTCGTCGCAAAAAACCTTATTTGCAACGACATGCGGGTTTTTGCGACGACTTTTTGTCGACGTAAAACCCCCTTTTTCTTGTAGTGATATATATGTATGCATATAATCATATAGTTTTGTTTATATATGGTATATAATATGTGCTAAAAACTCACCGCGTGAATCATGATTCTATAATTAATATTTTAGGGTTCTGTTTGATCATGATTAATACTTTAAATAAGCCATAATTTTCCCTCTCACGTGAATTAATGGAGTTGATCTGTCAATAATAGTACCTTTAGGCCAAATCCATTATAAACAGACATCCAGATAAACAAGAAAAACCACAAACAGCAAGCAAAAGCCAAGGCCTATCTTCAAAGGAAAGTTATATGTGTGTGTGTGTGTGTGTGTGTAATCATGTATTAAAGTAAATTATTGATCTCTATTGATCAAGAGCTGATTGATTAATTAGCCTCGATCATTGTTGTAGTAAAATAAAGGTACAAAAATGTCATTGTCTGAATCTCCTGTGATATTAGTTGATCGGAAAGCAGCTGACGGCTTTGAAAAGCATGATCCTGCTTACAACGGTCAGCTTGATCAGGCGATTGGTGGGGGAGATGTCGTCTTCGAGGAGTTGAGCGAGATGATTGATGCCGCAGTGAAGGTGCAGAAAGCGTTCAGGGGACACCGTGAACGGTGCATGTTAGCGGACTCCGCCATTGCGAGTGAAGAGCTTTGGTAAGCTTGTCAAATCTCCAGGACTCTTTTCAAAAGTCATATTACGAGACTGGACCGTTTAGTTCGTTGATTCGAGTTTTTAATTCGAGTTGAGATGTAACTTTATTAAGAGTTTTTTATTATAATAAAAAAGTTAAATATAACTGTTTCTAAGAGTTCTTTACTGTAGTAAAACTCGAATCGGTGAAATGAACGAAGCCAAATTGTGAGTCAAAATTTTTTTTTCACACTACAGTATGAAAAGAGGGAAGTTTAGAAATTTTTTTGTCAAGTAGGCCAGAATACATAGTAACGTTGGAGAGACAATTATAATTTTTCTTGCATTCGAAAATCTTTTTTTTTTTATAGTAAATATAGAGCTTTTTTTTTTAAATTTGTAAAATTGTATATTGCTTTGTTGACTAGCTAGTGGTGATAAATAAATTGTTCTCTCTCGTCGCTTGATTGAAAAAAAAAAATGTTTTTTCCCCCCTTTTTCCTTTTGCTTTTTAAATTTTAACACGGAGGTCGAAAGCTTTGGACTTCGCTGCAATGAATCAGAGTACGATTTCGTTCTTCAAATCCTCCACACCTGAAACTGCTGTTTCCCGGTGGAATCGCGTTAGCTCCAATGCTTCTAAGGTACTATATATATAATATATATATATATATATATATTATATTTGGTTTCCTTGGAATTCATTTTCAAGAAATAAAAAAGAAGACATTAATATGTTATTAAAAAGAAAAAAAGGACTTGTGTTTGACGTACAGGTGGGGAAGGGGTTGGTCAAAGATGACAAAGCACAAAAGTTGATTTTTCAGCATTGGATCGAAGCTGTAATGACTTTCTTTCTTAATTATCTTTGAGCCGTTCACTTCACTGATTTGAGTTTATAATTCGAGTTGAGATATAATTTTATATGAGAGTTTTTTACAAGTTAGATGTGACTGTTTCTGAGAACTTTTTACTGTAGCAAAACTCAAATTCTAAACTCGAATCGGTGAAGTGAACGGATCTTCTTCTTCTTTCTTTCTTTATTTTTTTTTAAATAAAAACGTGTTCGCATTTAACTATTGTTTTCTAATTTGATATTGTTCTTTTTTTTTTTTTTGGGGGGTCCCTTTAGTTTCTAAACTTTTCATACAGGTAAACTTTCAAAAAATTTATAGAATATATCACGTCCTATTGAAAAAAAATAAAAACCAACCTTTTCATATGTAAGGACCATAAATTCCTAGTGGTTTTGAAGATTTAAATGACTAGAACATAATTTCTTTTACATGGTTTGAGGACCGATCGGAAAGAACTATTTTTTTCATTTATGGAATGATTTGAATTTTGAGGTTTTAGTTGGTAGCTTGTATTTGTATTACCTACTTGTCCTTTTAAAAAAAAAAAAAAAAAATTGTGCAGATTGATCCGAGGCATCGATATGGTAAGAACTTGCATGTGTACTATGACGAATGGTCTAAAGCAGATTCTGGTCAGCCATTTTTTTACTGGTAAGCAATTTGAACATTGCCGTTCGACACTACTACTTGAGCTAGGCACCACAAGACACAAGTGCGGGGTCCAACTGTAAAATACCTACCTGTGGGAACCTCACCCTTGTGTTTATCTACTGTGTCATCTTATGACATTTAGGTCTGGTCAGCCATTTTTTTACTGGTAAGCAATTTGAACATTGCCGTTCGACACTACTACTTGAGCTAGGCACCACAAGACACAAGTGCGGGGTCCAACTGTAAAATACCTACCTGTGGGAACCTCACCCTTGTGTTTATCTACTGTGTCATCTTATGACATTTAGGTGACGTTTTTTTGAGGATACTGTTTGGTTTAGGATTGTGATTCGTGGATCTGTTATAGTGTTTTTCACTTATAAAAAATTTGAATTTTAAAAATCAAAATCATGAACCATAATTTTGAACTTATAAACCAAATGTCACCTTATTGTCTTTGTACGATATGAACAGTAATTAAATACTAAAAATACTTAAACAAGTTATGATGTATCAAAATTTAATTAGAGGAACATGAATAAGACAAAAAAATAAGATAACAGATCTTGCATCCTGTTGTAATACAGAGCCCCATGGTTTTTTAAGCGCAGAGCCCCATGGTTTTTTAAGCAATATTATTCTTTCTCAATATGCAAGAGAACTTTATGAAATTTGACAAATTATTTACCTTCCAAATATTTACGTTGTTGTTCTTCCTTGCAGGTTGGATATAGGAGATGGAAAAGAGCTTGATCTCCAAAAGTGTCCAAGATCAAAGCTTAGAGAACAATGTGTCAAGTATCTTGGACCCGTAAGTTCTTCCATTATATATCATAGTCTTAAATTAAAACCAAGTAAATAGCAAATATATATATATATATATATCTCTGTGAGTGTGATTTATTTTAAATTTTTCATACTACTTAAAGTCTATATATGACTATATGATTCTTATTATAATTTCTTCTTTTTTTTTTTCCAGAAAGAGAGGGAACAGTATGAATACATTGTTAGAGAGGGTAAACTTATTCACAAACAAACTGGAGATGTCCTTGATACACAAGCTGACATGTCGATATTTGTTATGAGCACCTCTAAGCAACTATACGTCGGTCAGGTGAGATTTCAACGAACACAAGTACCTTTTTGTTCGGGGAAATTTCAACGGTATGACTTGAAAAAAAATAAACCATGGATATCTCTTTATTTGTCACCTGTTAGATTTGTATAAAAAACTGTCTTATGTTTCATCGGTATGACATGTGAATAATTTTCAGAAAAAGAGAGGAAGATTCCATCATTCTAGCTTCTTGGCTGGAGGGGTCACGATAGTTGCAGGGACGCTAGGGGCAGAGAATGGAACTTTGAAGGTACGTATATAAATATAATTCACACCTAATTTTGTATGTAATATAGGAAATTATAAGGCTATTTTTGGATGCTACAAAAGTTAAATACTGCTTAGCCTTACACATGATGTCTGATCGACCATATTGTTTGACTAATTCTCAGTCTATCTCACCATTCACCGGCCATTATCAGACAACAAGTGAACGTCTCGAAACGTTTCTATCATTTTTCAAGGAAAATGGAGTGAACCTTAGTGAAGTCCAGGTATCTTCCTCAAATTTTTCTTACCTTATATAGTAGTAATGGCGGTTCTAGTTAACAGCTTGATGATTTTAAATTAAGCTACTGGTATATATAAAGAAATTAGCTAATTTAATTGGAAAAAGATGACAAATTGGAGTGTGCGCTGTAAAAACGGAGCCATAAAATCTTTTGGGGGTTCCGCTCGAATTGTTATATATATATATATATATATATATATATATATATTATGGGGTATGTAATATGGCCATATGTTTAATTGTATTGTACTTTCATATTATTTCACTTATTAAAATGTCTCGCGTTTGGTAAATGACTCATCGAATTGTTATATATATATATATATATATATATATATATATATTATGGGGTATGTAATATGGCCATATGTTTAATTGTATTGTACTTTCATATTATTTCACTTATTAAAATGTCTCGCGTTTGGTAAATGACTCAATTATCACCAAACGACCACAAGTTTTTAACTTGCAAGTTGTCAACCGAATTGTCAATTAACTTCGAAAGTTCTACCAGAATAATCCGACCCATATTGGTACACGAAAGGATTCCTCATTTTTTTTCACACTTTTTAGTAGGAAACAATTCCTCAAAATTGTAGAGGGGTTGTTCTTTTACAACGAAACTCAAAAAAAATTTGAATTTGAATTACATTTTTATTTAAATTCACGTTCTTTTGTAAAATTTGAATTTGAACTCGAGTTTGAGGCTAAACTCGAGTTCAAATTTCCTCTTCAACTCGAGTTCATAAACTCGAACTCAAGTTAATGAGCAGTCTCGTTTAGTTCGCTGATTTGACTTTTCAATTCGAGTTGAGATGTGACTTTATGTGAGAGCTTTTTACTGTAGCAAAAAAGTTAGATGTAACTGTTTCTAAGAACTTTTTACTGTAACAAAACTCGAATCGGTGAAATGAACAGGGCTTCCTGTATTTTTTCTATTCTTAAAAATGTCATAACTTTTTCGTTTTAATTTTGATTGAGATGATTTTTTTTCTATGCATTCACAACGAAAAGACGAATAAAACCCCACCCATATACCCTATTAAAATTTTTCATCACCATTGAATTTTTATTAAAATACTATCTAAATACAAATTTAAGTTTTGACCCAGCCAAACACAAATTCAAATAGATTCTCAATTCAAATGATAACTCAAATGTGCACATCCAAACACAAACTCAAATTACAACTTCAACTCAAGTTATAACTCAAACTCAACTCAAGTTATATAAGTGTCTGACTGGACCATGGGCCATATTTCAACTTTCAACGTCACCTAAGACCTAACCTTCTCTAGCAGCAAAATGAAAAACTTGACCAATGCCTATTTGTCATTTTCCGTGAGTTAAAAAAGAAACTTGACCGACGTCTAAGGTAGCTCTACAAGATGGCTTGATAGCGCTTTGGTTGCTGCGACTCCAGCACCGTTCACTGGCTTCTTTGACCTTGTTAGCTGCCTTGTTTCCTTTTCTTTTTTTTGTTCTTTTTACTATGCCGTTAAACTTTCATCTCCATTTGTGGTAGATGGTTATATCGAATAATGGCGATGTATTCTCCGCTGCTTAGGAAAAGTGTTTCGTTTTTATGTGTTTGTTTTAAGTTTTTGATCTCGCGGGTAGTTTATTTGCCAGCAAATTGTTTCCTTCTGTTACATCTACTTGAGGTGTTTCATGGTCGTGTTATGGGTGACCTTAGGTCTACAGGTATTTTAGATCCTATTGATCGGAGTTGTCTATCGATTGTAGAGGTGTGTTTTCAGAGAGCCATATGTGTGCTTGTTTCCCGGGCTTGTCTCTTGTTGCGGGAGCTCAATGCACATTCCTCTCCTCTCATTTTCACGATAAGTGGTGAGACCAATCAATAGTCAAGTTATGTTATGCTTGTACTGTGAGGTTATTTATATCAGCATTAGTGTTTGTATTTTTATGTTTTGGAATACAATTTACCTTAAAAAAACTGTCACATTTCTAGAAAAATACTATTCGAAAGATGTTATCTTTATATTTATGTTAGATATAAACTTAATTTTTTATATATGTCACTTACCAGAAAATAATCTTAATAGATTATTTTTTTCTGCTTTTACAAAGATTTCCGAACATCTTAAGAGGGTATTGATAAAATATTTTTGACATTCTACCACAACAATTTTTTAGAATCAACAGAAATGGTATAAATGTAAAATGTTGGATTTTAGTTGCATAATATATAAATTTCTTGACAAAATAACCCTCTTAAAGAAGGTCCAATTGCCCATTCTTCATCCTCCTGCTAATCTATTCTAAAGAGATATAAATGAATAATGTTATAAAGCTGACATCACTCACTAATAAAAAATGGGTCCTATAATATGATGTCTGCAGATAAGATTCACATTTTATTAGTGGTGGTACCAAATATTTTTCAATAAGGCTTTTTCTATGGTCTCTCACCATTTTTATGACAAAAATTTTTCCCATCGTAAAAAGTTAAAGGATTAGCGTAACCGGTTAAATGATTAGCGTAATTCTCTTGTATTAGGTCATAACAGTTACTATTTTAGAAACCATAAGTTATTTTTAAGCATATTGTAAATAAAACACTGTCATATACTGCTACAAACAAAAGTTCATACATGACCGGATGTGATTATAAAAAAACATGACAGATGCAATTCTTCACAACAATATTATTTATGTTTACAACAACGGTTGGTTACGATGGAATGACTAGTATTAATAATAAAAACGACAGTCGTTTATTGATGTGCATTTTAATATTTTTCATATAATTATTCACGACAGATGTACATGACAGTCGTTTATTGCATATATTTAAAAATAATTTCTAATTTTCAAAATAATAATAATTACAACTCAATGTAAGAGAATTACGCTAAATTTTTAACCGATCACGATTGACATAAACTTATTGCGACGGTACACGGAGACTTGTCCCCCATTTTCGGACTATAGACAACTCCTTTCAATAAAAAAGAAGTCTTACCTACTACTGCACCGCACAATTCCCACGATAGCAATAAACAGTTGCGACAATAATACACCGTCATTAAAGGTGCACTTGATACACAGCCAGTTACCAAACAAACAGAGAAACTACAAATTATAGGTCCCAGACAAAACCTCTCGAAACCTCTCAGGCCACATATAATAATATCACTAAAAACATGAGAAGTTAAAGAATTAGAACGGCACATCTAAAAGAGCTCAACCACGCGGGAATATTATGTGCAATAAGAAAAAATTATTGACGTTTGGTTGTGGAATTCAAACTATGTGATTCGAACCATTTTCGATTTACGTGAATTTTTTGTGAGAGAAAATACTGTAACGAACCACGAATCATGATTCGAATCAGGGAACGAATCTCACTACCAAACATCCTATATATCGTATACAGACACCACCGATGACGGTATTTCCTATAAATATTAGTAAATTGATTCCATCAGCACTAGTAATACTAATTTAAAAGCCATGGGCCTATATCAAACTCGTAAAATTATATATAAACGCGTGAAATGAAAATTTAATACTTTTATAGGGCATAGATGAAAATTTCTCAAAAATTGGTGTGTGACTTTTTTTTTTCTTTTTAAACGGATTAGGTCACAAGCTTTGAACTTTGCTCCGCTGAATCGCAACACAATTTTGCTCTTCAATTCTGCAAAACCCGAAACTGCGGCTTCGCGGTGGAATCGCGTTAGCTCGAATGCTTCGCGGTGGAATCGCGTTAATTTCTAATTAGCTTAACTTAATTGTTTGTTTATATTATAAATTCAGAAAAGATGGTGGTAGATAATTTGTTTTTATGAAGCGAGTAATTAATTAATGTTGGTGATCAAAAAATTTGGAGTGGTTTTTAACCAGGTGGGGAAGGGTTTGTGCTTGGACGACAGAGCACAAAAGTTGGTTTTCCAGCAGTGGATTGAAGCGGTAAAGTCATAGCTCTTCTTATACATTTGCAACATCTTTTATTTTTTATTTTGTTAAGGTTTAATTCCCTTAACTCTTTGATTATTAATTAGTCCTATAAAACTAATTAATTAAATATTGCGTTTTAAATGCTATTTTAAAAAAAAAAACCATTGGAAATACTTCCTAGCTAGTACTCCTAAACTTTCAAAATATCTTAATATTAGTCCCCAAAACAATTTCTCAATTTTGAAATAATGTTGGTCTCTAATTAATTAATTTTTAAACGGAAGAAAAAAAAAAGTAGCTAGTAAAATTTATATATTTTCTTGCCAATATTTTTTTGGAAATGTAGATTGATCCAAGGCATCGATATGGTTGGAACTTGCAAAGCTTACTATGAATAGTGGTGCAAAGCAGAAGCTGATCAGCCATTTTTTTAGTGGTAGTTAAGCAATACTGTCCTGGTAATAATTAAGCCATTTTCTTGAAATTTACCCTTATCAAACGAGAGAACTAAGCTTTGATATTATGAATTTATGAGCAATGATAAAAATTATGAAGGTTTTTATCATGAAAATCATAAATGTATAATGTGTATCAAAATTCAATAAGTTCTGAAAAACTGAAATAACTGTTTTGTCGTAATCTTTTTTTCTTTTTTTTTTACCCTGTAATGAAACTATTTTGTTTTAATTGTCTTGCAGGTTGGACATAGGAGATGGAAAAAAACTTGACCTGGAAAAGTGTCCAAGATCAGAACTTAGAGAACAATGCGTCAAGTATCTTAGACCTGTGAGTGCTTCTATGAAATCAAATTATCATAATTTTAATTGAAATTACTAAATAAAAGTGGGTTTTACATGTGCATAATTCATAAGTTTTTCATAATAGTCCCTAGCATCGTGCTGTATTTGAAATGCGATTCTTCATTTCTTTTTTTTTTTTTTTTTTTTTTTTTTGTTTTGTAACGTTTCTTGCAACAATATGAATACATTGTTGTTGAGGGCAAAATTCTTCACAAACTGACTGGAGATCTCCTTGATACACAAGCGACCATGTGGATATTTGCTATGAGCACCTAGAAGCAACTATATGTTGGTCAGGTGACATAATTTAACCCTTTGTTTCTTTAGAAAATTTCTTCGTTGAAATATTTCGATCTTGATCGGAACACTGATCATTATACCGTGCCAACGAATTTTCAGAAAAATAAAGGAAAATTTCATCATTCTATAGCTGCAGGAAGAATGGAATTCTCAAAGTATGTTTCATAAGAAAAGTTAAATGAAATGTGGTAATAAATGTTGAGTACTCTCACCAAACAAAAACCGGTATGTCCCATATCAATGAGGCTCACGTGCTTGATCGCCTATTTACTCAAGAGTAAATAGGCGATCAAGCATATAGTCAAAAGTAAATTAGCCAACAAAGAGATGTTAGGTGTGTGAAGCCTAATTATTATCTCAATATCTATTGACTCGCGAGTCAACCTTTGTAAGAGATTTTTAGGGCAACCCTATTACAGAAGAGGGAAGTAGAGAGACTGCAAGAGACATATTGATTAGATTGTCCATCAGGGTAATTTGAGTCTTTAGATTCAGAATCATTATTCATAATTTAAATCATGATTCATGGTGATTCGAACATTTATTTGGATGTGTGCATGCATGATTCTGATTCTAACCTGAATCATGATTTGAACTAGTGTTTAATTGTGTTGTTTTCTAATTTTGAACCATGACCAAAATAAGAACTATCTTTCTGCTATGTAAATTACGTTACGTGTAATTTTAAAAAAATATAATTCAGTATATAAGTAAGAAAACGAAATATTAGAGACAAAATTAAATGTAAAAAATTACAACTCAAAATTATAATAAGTTAAATGAGAAATAAATAGAAAAAAATGCGCATTAGCCAAAAATAAAGCAAATAACAAGCATTCAAGTTGAAAAGAGAAATTAATTGACATGATACAAACGTGCGTTACGAACCTCAAAATTTTTTTTGCAACAATAATAAATACACGAATTATGAAGTAACAGAGGTAAATTCTCATTGCCGTTATATACTTTCAAACTTGTCTTCCCTGGTTTCTACCCACGGCTTCCCTGATATTCTACCCACATTTCATTCGCAAAGTGATCCCTAAAACGACCTATCTCTGTACAACTAATATTCTATCCACATTTCATTCGCAAAGTGATCCCTAAAAATAAAGCAAATAACAAGCATTCTATCTCGTTCCTCATTTTTGGGCTGCATCCCGTTGGTTCACAATTTAACATATAATTTTAACATTGTCATTAAATAAAACACAAAAGTAGAAACATATCACAATTGATTATTTTAATCTGTTTCATTGGAAACTATTGTGCTGCTCCTACATTTCACACAACTATTTGCAACAAAGAAAGTTGGGAACTGAAATCTTCAACGGCTGCTGATTCAGATGGTGTGGTGGTGAAAAAATGAACTATAAGCCACCCTGAAATGATTTCTTGAATTATTGGAACCAACTCCAGTTGTATTTTAGATACATCATCAGGCAACATATGAATCTGCAAGCAAAAGTCCTATGAAGTTCTACAACATTCGTCTTACAAGAAAACCCCATAACCTCTTATGCAACAATCAAGCCCCCAAGCTAGAACAAATAAAACCCCATAACCTAATTGGTGTTTTGTCTGGTACATAGAATGTGGAGAAATCAACAGAAATTTTAGCTTACATGTAATTTGGATGATGATTTGATTAGCTCCTCAAATCTATATCTGCAATTTCAAAATTGGCTATTTCAAAATTGATTAGCCCCATGCAGAATGAGCTGGACTATTGCAGAGAGGAGCCATCAATGTCCCCTAGAAAATTCTCTAAGTAAATACAGTCTCATACAATAGTATAGAATGAGAATGCAAACCGGCCTAATATGAGAGAAAAAATCGACCATTTAATATAACTTAGCAACACAGTCTCATACAATAGTATAGAATACAGTCTCATACAACAAAAAATGAAAATAAACCGGTACACTAACAATAGTGTAGAATACAATCTTGAAATCTCGCTTACACGCGACAACATGGTATTAAGCACTAATCCGTGGTCTAATATCAAGGGAAAATCGACCATTTAATATAACTTAACTCTATAAGTAGAAACATCGCACCAGACATTTAAGGGCTAGGTGGATTGAAGGGTGGTGGAGGCTGGTGGAATGGGTTAGGGGGCTGACTATAGGGGTTTGATGGCTGATGGAAGGACTGTGGCCGCTGGTTGTATGGATTTGGCCCGGGAGAGAAGTTATGAGGCGGCTGGCTATATGGATTAGGCACCTGATATGCAAAGGGGGTTTTTGGCACATCAACAAAGTCGTTTAAAAAGGCCCTCCTAATGGGTTCATCCAGTTTATGCCAAGCTGACCGCCACGTGGGGGACGCCATTATTTTTTCAAATGCATGGGCATACGTACGCGGGTCAATTCCCATTTCCGAGAGTGACACTATGATGATATCCATTTCATTTGGTCCATTGACAGTGTTGTTACTCGGCAAGCTCTCTTTACTTGAACGAATGTCCTCTCGCAAATCGTCGCGCATGTCCCTAACCAAATCAAGTAGCTCCTCCCGTAAACTGTCATTGGATTTGCGTGCCCTTGTCTATTTCTTTCTTATCACTCATGATGATGAGGCGATATTGGATTTCGTCCGCCTTCCAAAACTTTCCACGCGGTTGCGAAGCTCGGTACGCATCTCCTCATCATCACTGTTTTGGTAAGGAGCATTCTGGTGAGGTTGTGGTTGTTCATCCCCAGCAGCAACATCATCCGTTGGCTCTACTTGGGCGACAAGGTGATATGCCCCTAAACCAGACGCCATAACTCTTGAAGGGAAAACGGCCGCCAAGTACGTCTCATTAAGCTTCCAACCGTATGTGAACAATGTTTTCACTTCACGATGTCTCTAACAAAATTAGAATGAAATTGGTAAGTTTGTTACACTTAATTACGAAAGTGTAACCTCTAACTATTATCACTAATGGAGGAGTAATGAATTACACATATTACCTTGTAAAGAGATGCCCACAGTTCCTCCGAGCATGTAAAAGTTTTACTGATAGGATCTCACCCTACTCCAGTATGGTTTTGCAGCATTTTATACACTGAGTAAAGGTTGCCAAGTCGGCGGCGTTTCTCCCTCAGCCGCTCACCGTCGGGTACATATCCATCGAAAAAAGTGGCCATCCGAGCAGCCCATTGGTTGTAGTCACGAGAATCTGGGAGCTTCCCGTGGTTTATGTCATTGTATTCGTATAGTCGCTCAAGTAGAAACTCCTCTGCCGCAGGACTCCAATACAACGGCCTCTCATCTGGGTTTTTCTTAGGCATCTACATACATATAGGACAAGCAAGAAGAGTCCAATACGTGCAAAAACAGGGCATGGTCTTACAACGACAATTTAAGAAGCATAACCACCAACAAAACACACCCAAGAACATGAAAGAGAAGCAAATTTTTATTTACTTGCGCACTACTAGTTGGATCTAGTCCAATGCTTGTGCATTCTATGGTTGTATGGCTTTTTAATTGAGAAAGTTATTTGCTTGCTGCACTACTTTATTTTATTTTGTTTTATATATTTTTTTGATGATCATACTTTGTGTATTTTTTTCTGAATTCTCTGTGAATAAAAATCATGTTTCCAAATTCGTTTTCTAGTCTACATAATGCCATGAAGGAAAAACACTTCCCGAGGAGACTTAACAAAGAGGCTGAAGAAATTGCAGAAGTTGAGGCAAATTCAACCTTTCTGGTGTCAACTACCGGCTTCGGGAAAGTTTTCACCCAACTCAGCCCATACAGTCAGTTCGGTCTATATTCGAGCCATAGCAATTTCATTCACAAAGACACCTATCTATGCTATATTCTACTGATACCACATTCACAGAAAGCCCTAAACTCAATCAGTTCGGTCTATATCATTTTCATGCATCTGACAAAAATGTAAGAAAAAAAAAACACACATGCTGCCATTCGAACATGGCCCATTCCAGGTTTTGATTTTTACACACAAATAGCATCTAAAGTGAGAATGACATACCGTTTCAGTGTTCGAGTCCGACGAGGAGATAAAGGACACCGCCGGCAAAGATCCAAACACGGATGCAGGACTTTTGTAAATTCCTCGTCTGTTTCCTCTCCGGCAAAGGCGATAAATGGCCTTACTTTGGTAGTATCGGCGAAATTGATACTGAATGTGGAGCTTCCGTCGATTGCTCACAATCACCCCTTTACTTGAAGCATTTCTCATCAACTCGAGAAGAGGAGTCCGCCGTGGGTTTGGCTGCTTAGATGCGAAGAGGAGTCCACCGGGAAAAGGAGAAAATTGCCGGAAGAAAAGAGAGGAGAAAAAGGAAAGGCTGGAGACCTGCAAACCCACGCGAGAAAGGCTGGAGATTCTCTGGCCAAGAGAAGAAATGGTCGGTAGAGTGGGTGGGGGGTCATTACTCGGGGAAGCAGAAGCACATGGAAACACTGTGCAAACACTGTGCTCTGATTTAGAAACAGGCTGAATCAGAGCCTTATCTGATTTTAAAATAAGGATCCAAAGTGATCCAAAGAGCAGATTTTGACCCAGAGTCAGATGCGGGATTATGGGCCTCCAAACATGGATTCTCCCACATGACCCAGAGTCATGATCCAAAATACAGCTTCCAAACGGGCCCTTATACTTTCTTCTCTAATTACAGTGTTTTTCTGCATACAAGGGAAAGTAGACAGAACTTACAACCATCGTTTAGTTTAATTGTTCTTCTAATTTAACAAGAAAGGTCAAATATAGTTTTTAGTGGAAACACACAACTTAGCCAGTTAAATTACCTTGTACCACAAAGCTAATCGTTTATAAACACTAATCATCAAGATACACCATCAGAATTCAAGCAATGGAATACATATCAGAGTTGATTCTGATGATTTATGTAGTGTCTAATCGATCAGTGTTTTTATATTTCAGTCCATCTCTCCATATACCGGGCATTATCAGACTAAAAGTGACCGTCTTGACACTTTTCTATCATTCTTCACGGAGAAGGGAGTGAACCTTGATGAAGTAGAGGTGAAATTTTGGTCTTTATACCTTGTATATACATGCGCATGTGTGTGTATATATATGGCGAAATTGCCTTACCTCATTTGCCTCACGGTGTTTATGACATTCCTTTTCTTCAGTAAATTTATACCCATACATTTTTAAGAATAAATTCAGTAAATTTCTCATTTTTTATGTTTAAAAGTCTAGAATGTCACGACCCGTCGCCTAGCTACTAACTTAGGCCGGCGGAAAGCTGCGACACAGAAATACATACATAATATATTAATTTGAAGATAATATATTATATACTTAAGGATAAATTAAAGATTTGAGTTAGTTAATTTAACTAACCATAAAAATGTGGAAAATTTTGATCTTTTAAAGTGTTCGCAAAACTATATTTATAATGCGGAAGTTTCTGTGAGATTTTTTTTTTTAAAATTCATACGAGGTTCATATTGGGCCATATGACCGTTTCCCAAAAGATTTAATAAAGTTTGACCATTAATATCTGTGGAAGTTTAGAAGTAAGTTCCTAAAAATAACAGTCTCAACATCATAAAATGAACTGTACCACCACCTCGATCTGTTTTCTTGCCCACTTCTCTTTAACTATAGACTTGCCTGCAACACAAGGAAATTCTAGTGAGCTAGGGGGCTCAATAAGCGAGTAGACTATCTACTCTAAATTTGATTGAATGCATACAATATAGGAAGGTTTCTTCAAACTCATTAAACCATAAAAACACTATAGATAAGTCGCGTAGTAGTAATAATCTCATAAACCACCATATCTATAGTCCTAATTGTTTTTGTTCTCCTTCTTATCACATCCTTACTGTCAAGTTGTTAATTTCTTCTAATAAATTATGCATTCCCATAAGTACACACTCATACAAAAGTCAAAACAAACAGTAAATTAAAAGAATACAAAATTATTAAGTTATCCTAATGAGTCCGACATCCTCATAATTTGTCTCCTCGTTCGGCGATCACAACAATCAAAATAATAATAGAGTGAAAACAATAACACGAAGCACACATTAATCACACCCCCCCATTTAACGTGATCATAATTAAAACATTAATAATTAACACAGGATTAGGACGTACTAAATACATTTTGCATAACTCATAGCATAACAATTCATGAACTATTCATTCTATACATATCATATCATATTTCCATATCAACATGTCATATCTAGGTGCATAATTCATTACATAACCAATGATCTAACCTCTTAACGTGCACGTATTATTTATTGGGCCCGTGGGACTGCCTTATGCCGGCTAATGCTCAATCATATGACTATCCTAGACTCCAAAACAATGGGTCTAAGGAATCACACACAAGTACCTCACGTACTATTACTGAATCAAACTCGGCTTTCAGGAGTGTACCACTAACCACATGTGACTTGCCTATCTTACCGGAGTTATGATCCATTGACATTCACATAACCAGTAAAGAGGGTATTCATGGGGCTTTATCCCTTCTTACCTGGCTAAAGTTTAGGAAATTAGGCACTATGACCCAATCATAGATCCAACAGCCACTTAGGCCGCAGCACCTACAACCCAGGAACTAAAGAGCAACATTGCATGTCTTATCATATATAAAATCTTTTGATCCCTTAAGAGACCTACAGTTCCCACCCTAACTTATAACTTGGTATATCATAAAATGCCAATGTACAATTATGATGTCATGTTATAGCCCAAGTGCTCATATGAAAAGTAAAAAAACATGTCACGTAGATTCCACATTATTTGAAGAGTTCGGTAAATGTCAAATCATGCGTATTAGAATAAAATCAAGCCCTAATTTAACCTTACTATCTTCAAAGCTTAAACATACTATCTCAACATATTGAGCAAGAACATACCATATACTATTATAAGGATTTAGGAGCACAACACGCTTATATAAATTATATCAAGGTTCATACCATCATGAATCATGGACATGCATAATCATAAGGTAAACACACATCACTTGCATTGCAGGTGCATACTCCACTTACCTTATATGTTAGGTTCCTAAACGTAAATTCCTCCTTGATTCGTTTTGGTTCACAACCGTGGATTAAGCGTTCACCCATTAAATTCTCTTAAGAGTACTATGGCACTCTCGACTTACTAACGAATTTCTCAGCGTAAGAAATCATATTATTTTATTTTATATGTCTTGATCGGAAACTTAGCGTGAACATGGTTTGGGCAGAAAGAACAAAAAGGAAAACGACTCTTATGGGGGTTAATAATTTTGTCCCCAATCTAACAAAATATATCAACGGCCCACAAATAATACGATTCTCTCATTCCTAGGAAATTTGTCGACAAGATATTCATAAACTTAACAATTTCCCTCTTTTCACATGACTTTCACATCAAAACAATTCACTACATTCATATTTTCTAAAAACAGGTTCATCAATACTTACAGAAAAATTCATAAAATATTCTACAGGAATTAAAAAATCACGATTCTTGTCTCTTATTTAAGTAGACATCTAGAGCTTCGTTTTGATACATTACACGAACTATTTCAATTCCATTAATGCCACTAAAAGTATTTTAAAACCTGACTGAAAATTTTTCATTCTCTGCAGAAATTTACAGAAATCTTGACACAATTAAAAAGTTCATAACTTTGTCTAAGGGTCTCCATTTTTAATGATTCGCTTATCGAATTGAAGCTTAAAACCTCTAGTTTAAGTTTCAAAAACTTTTTAGTGCAATAATACTCTCAAATGCTACAGTTTTATGTTTTAATTAATGCAGTCCAAAAAATCTTTTTTTTTTTTTTTTTTTGCAACTAACACGTGACATGCAAACTATAAAAGAAAAGGCTAGAAAATTAATTTTTTTTAAAGATCTTTGTCGCATGATCATCTCAACCATCCCAAGCTATAAAACCTCATAAAACTCAGTCCAAATCTCATTCTTAACAAGACTACAAAAATTTGTCTCAACATAGCAACTTTTTCAAACGGGCAGATTTGGCCTCTTTTACGAGAAAATGCATAAAAAATAGTACCAAACTCAAAAAATTACGAAACCACTGCCAAATGAAAGTCGACTCATAGATCTTTCTTTAGAGCTATTACATGCCAGGTTTCAAATTTATCAAACTCATCAATATCAGCCTGAAATCTGATTTAAAATTTTCGTCAAGAAATTGAAAGATTTTGACACCAACTTGTAAAATTCATAACTAATTCTACAAAAATCGTTTTAAGGTTATTCTTAAATCCACTTAAATTTTAGGATGTCTATTTTAAATAAAAAATAATGGCTGAGACAAAATAGTACGAATAACATCCAAAAAAAAATTTTAAAAAAAATCTAATACTGGCCAAAAAAACTAGTACATGTTCATTTTAACAAACACTTTACATGCATGCTTAAATGTTTAAAACTCTCATGCAACACTTGAATCAACATCCATTTTGAAGTTCAGGAAACTCAAATCAACAAAACTCAACCTAGGATCACTGGAATACATATTTAATCACAGTAATGGAAATACTAGAAAGTTTGAGAGGCTTACCCTCGAAGAACAAATGGTTTTAGACTCCGTTGATGATGAAAACTCGTTCTTGACTTGAAGGGTTTGATTGAAATAAGATTCTTACCAAAGAAATAAGAAAAACTCAGAATAATAGATATCCAGGGAGAGAAATTATTCAAAAAGGAAGTCTTTTAGAGAGGAACTTACCAAAACGGATGCAAGAACTCCTATTCTCGGAATAATTTTGAACCCAACTTCAGAGAGATTTTTAGGACTTAAAAAATCATCTCTAATGTCTAAAAATTGAAGGTGGATGATAGTTCTGAGTTGGGAGAAGGTTTTTGGTGAGAAATTAGGGTTTTGAGTGATTTTTTATGGGTTTCCTACGACTCCTCTTCTAGTTACAGGAATAGTTTTGTTTTTCTGGAAAGAGAGAGAGAGAGAGACAGAGCGCAAAGAGAAGAGGAAGAATGTCTGATAGACTTGGAAGTATCGATAATCCCCTTTTTCTTTTTTTTTTAAATTAAATTTTAGAGTGGTTAGTTCGAGTTGATATGAAATTTTATGTGAGAGTTTTTTACTGTAGTAAAATAATTAGATGTGATTATTTTTGAGAATTTTTTAATGTAACAAAACTCAAATTTTAAATTCGAATCAGTAAAATGAACGGGGCCCGAAATCACCTAGTAAGAAACTTTCTCAAAACTCATCACTTTTTAAAAAGGCTCAATTATTTTTAAATTTTATATTTTGGGTCATCTTAATTTTTTAAAAATAATATTTTCGACACCGAATTTGGCAAAATAATAGGATTAGCCCCAGAATAGAATTTTATAAAAATTCTCTTTTTGACTAATTTCAACGCTCTAATACATATTATATATTTTGATTAAACTTTTTACTTAGTTAATAACCCATCCGTAAAAATTTCTAACTTCATCATTAACGCCAACTGATAAGTGCATGAATGTGCACCTAAATTGTTAATAATTACTAAATAAATTGAGTTTTAATTAAATATTTTTATGAAATTAATATTTTGTGAAAGTATTTTATTTTAATTTAATTTATTTTGTTTTGTAGGAAAATAAGACACTTGAGTCAAAACTATAAAGAAAACAAGAGAAGCCCATCAGCCCTTCAGCCAGCCGTCCGCCGAGCCGAGCCGATTGGAGTCGAGCCGCGCGAGTTTCCCCGCGCTACCATGTGTCGCTCTCTGTTGCGTCGCATATCAATGGGCCCCAGCTGCACCGGCTCGCACGCGCGCTTGGCGGGCACGGCCCTCCTCCCCGAGCGAGTCCTTCTCACGCGCGCGTCAGGCATTTTCCATCTAATTTCTGCGTGGGTCTCGCGGTCCAGAAGCTCTCCAACCAGCCTCTGCCACGCGTCCTGTAGGCCTAGCACTTCCCCGCGCATACGCGCGCTTGGCGCGCACCGCCAGTTCCCCGGGCGAGTCTCCTTCACGCGCGCGTCAGGGCGTTCAGCGTTTCTTCTCCGCGTGCTGCTTCTTCCCAATCAGCGTCCGCCGCGTGTCGCGAGCAGAAGCATCTGTCGACCACTTCTCATTTCCGCGAATCACAGCGCGACACGTGTCCCACCCATTGGGATGATGCGTTTGTGTCCGTTGTGATGGTTTTTCTCCCCCATTATCAGCCTTTATTCTCAAAGTTAAGCCTTGTAAATTCTAATTTATTGGGATCCGTTTTTACCTTTTTATTTTCTGTTGATAGTTTTTCTTCCCATTC